TTATGTGTAGGTATGGTTCAGAAGTTGCATTAGTAACCCCGCTTTCCACAGTACCACAGGTAGATATTCTTATGCTAGATTTAATTCTTGGAGTTTGTTACATATTACAAAATCATGATCAAAGTTGTTTTTACATGATTCTAATCATTAATATGAAAACTGAAAAATTCTGATAAAACAAGGCAGATGTTTGGCAGAATTATTTCCATTTTTATTAAACTATTTCAGAACAGCAAAGCAGATCCACAGCTGTTGCCAGTCGCCTTTGTTTCAGAAACACTCTTCTCACTTTGGTATCTGGTTAGCTTGCTTCCTTTCAGTTTACCATAATTCCTTGAGCAGAACAAAGATTACACAGAGTTGGATTTTTTTGTTGTTTGTTTGACTATTACAGCAGTCAGAAAAAAATTGTATGTTTTTCCTCTGAAAATTTCTTAAAACAACCTTTTTGCAAAAAAGTTCCATATCTATGTATATGTACACACACACACACACACACACACACACACACACACACACACACACACACACACATTTCAGCTTTATTGTTTAGGAGCCATAAAACTTCTTAGGGTTCACTGAGACACAGTTTGTACCTACCAGTTTTCCACTGATATACCTACTTGAATTTGACATTTTTCTTTTGGATCAAAACACTAAATTATTTGAGCTAATTGCTAGAGTTGCTTGAATTTTTTTGACCTAGCTAAAAAAGATATATAAATTGCCAAGTGATTCAGTGAATCAGTACTCTCTCAAGATACTAATTCTTTTTTTTTTTTTTTTGGTCCGGTCGTGGGGCCTGAACTCTGGGCCTGGGCGCTGTCCCTCAGCTCTTCAGCTCAAGGCTAGTGCTCTACCACTTGAGCCATAGCACCACTTCTGGCTTTTTTCTTTTTGCTTATGTGGTGCTGAGGAATCAAACCCAGGGCCTCATGCATGCAAGGCAAGCACTCTACCACTGAGCCACCTTCCCAGCCCCACTAATTCTTTTTTTTCTTTTACTTATAATCAATTTATTGTAGAAAATTTACAAAATAATAAAAGTCAAAGAAAATGAAGGTATCAGTAATTCTACCATTCAGAAATAACTCTTATCAGTATTATGGCATTTTAGTGTATCTTATAGCAACTTTTTTAAAAGGCACATGTATAATGGTATTTTTTTAACTTTACAAAATTGAAATTATTTGGGCCATTTGGGCTGCTTTTAAGCACAGCATATCAAGATACTAATTCTTGACCTGATAATCAACCAAGCAAATTTGCCCACACAATTCATATTTGTAGGCTTTGAATGACATATTTGCATCACAGAAAAGATTAAAGTTAATGCCAAGAAGAAAGCATTTAGACAGAGATTCTGGAGTAAGATAAATCACAAATTTTCTGCAGAAATTTAAAAATATTTTTTAAGTCTAGACAGATCTATCTTTCTGATCTGATAAACTATCTTCCTGTTAGAAAGCTAGAATGTAAGGTTCTATAGTACTTTGATAACACTTTTGCATATGAAGTTCTCAATAAATATAAATGAACTCAATTAAATAAGGGGTTATTAGACTGAAGCAGCTCTAACATCCTGAGCTTTTGTGTAGGCAACTTCAGCTCAGTGTATACAGTCACATTCTAAGAACACGAAATTTAAGCTTAACCAATCAGAAACCCACCAGCAAGCTCCAGGGTGGACTTTCCATTGGAATAATCCAAAAAAGGACTATTTCACAATCATTTTTTTTATCTGCTTTCACATTGCCTTTACAAAATCTTTCTTTTAAACTGCTCAACTGCTTCTGATAGAGCCCCCAACTGTCCAATTCATGAATAAGTGGTTGCTAAAACAAAAGAAACAAAAATCCTCTTTAATTTTAATGTACCTCAGTTTATCTTTTAACTGAATGAACAAATAGATCAATAAGGAGAGGACTGCCTTCGCAGAGGCACTGCTTATTTCGGAAATTTTGTGAATATAGATTTAAAGAGTGCTAGATGGGGTGAGATTGATTGAGATACATTTATACAGGTGTGGAAATGTCAAATGGCTCTCCTTGTTCAACTAATTGTATGCTAATAAAAACAACAACAAAAAGATACCCCAAGTTCTGTCTTCAACTCTAAGTAGTTGCTGTGCAAGTTCAATGATTTTATGGTCGTTGGCTTTTGGAATCTGCCATGTGTACAATATTAAACAAACATTTGGTCTCACTTTGAATTTACAGATTTCTAGCACTTTCAAATCAAAATGCAATTCCCCAAGGTTTTTACAGCAATATGTTAGTAATTTGTAATAACTAGCCCCCTTTTAAAATTTGTCGTACTTGAGGTTTCAGGAAATCAATCCTCATCATTTCTGTACAAAATGCTGAAACAAGGACACAGGATGACCCATTGCAACAATGATACTCACCAGTCACTATCTGGGAGGAGGGATTATGGAAGGTAAGGGAGGGAAGGATAGTAGGAAAAATAAAGTAGGGGGTAATAATACTCGACAAGAAATGTACCTCACCAATTACCTTACCAATGTAACTGTAACCTCTCTGTACAGCATATTTACAATAAAATAAAATAAAAAAGAAAACATATTTACACATTCATATATAGGGAGATATTTGCCTTTGAACTGAGAAAAATAAAAGTAGTACACATACTCCAATGAGCAATGAAATAGTAAAATGCTACTAGAACCCCTACCTGTGAGCTTATGGTACAGAATTAAGACACAAAGAAGCTGAAGTCCAAAGTAGCAATATTAAACTAAGGATAACTACTAGTGGGATTTTGTGGTGGGATGGGGGGTCTTGAACTCAGGGCCTGGGTGCATAGCCAATTTGTGCTTATGGCTAGCACTTTAACACTTTGAGCCATAGCTCCACGTCTGGTTTTTGAGTAGTTAATTGGAGACAGGAGTCTCGTGGGGACTTTTCTGCTCAGGCTGGCTTTAAACTGCAATCTTCAGCTCTCAGCCTCCTGAGTAGCAGAGATCGATTGCAGGCATGCGCTACTGGTGCCCTGCATACTGGTGGGATCTTATAGGAACCCATGCTTCCAAGTCTTGCTCTTTTGGTATTTATTAGGTTGATTGCTTCAAGGCATTAATTCATTGAATTAGATTAATCATTCATTTGGCTCATTTTCCATTGGTCTGTGCATAGTTACATAGTTTTTTTCTTTTGTCTTTTTATTTTTTTTTTTAAAGGGTATTCAGAGTCTGGCGAATCACTACCCAACATAAAAGCTAAAATGATCTTGATGCAGGTAGTTTACTTGTGTAATCTTAGCTACCCAGAAAGCAGAGATAGAGAGAATTGTGGTTGGAGGCTAGCCCAGGGAAGGCCTTATCTGAAAAATAACCGAAAAACAAAAGGGATTGGAGTTGGGCTCAAGTGGTAGAGCCCTTGCTGCTAAGCTTAGAATCCTAAATTCAAACCCTAACAAAGGAAAGAAAGGCTAGAAGGAAGCAAACTACATTATGCCATGATTAACGTATGGGGGAGGAGGTACCACACATGTTGTGTAATTGGAATTTTTTTAACCACAGTGTACACAAATATTCCAGCTCTTTTAGTGCATTCAGTGTTAGACTACAGGACACTTGTATCTTTTCAATGTAAACCATAGTTAAATGTACCTGTACATTACAACCATTTTTGTTCCACAATCATGTGTTAGGTGCCTACTGTGTGCCAGGAGGTACCCTGCTGTGTTGGGATACAAGAGTGGCAAACAGATTCATCGTTTTATTCTCTGCTCCTCCAAATCCCTGCCTTGAAAACATTGCATAAAAGAGAAGGAATATGCCAGGCGCTGGTGGCTCATGCCTGTAATCCTAGCTACTCAGAAGGCTGAGGTCTGAGGATCATGGTTCAAAGCCAGCCAGGCAGGAAAGTCCATGAGACTCATCTCCAATTAACCCCCAGAAAACCGGAAGTGGTTCTATGGATCAAGAGGTAGAGTGCTAGTCTTGAGCTGAGCGACAGCGCTTAGGTCTAGAGTTCAAGCCCCATGACCAAAAAAAAAGAAAAAAAAAAAAGGAATAAATAGGCAAATATGGAAAAAACACAGGAATTTGGAGATTTTTAAGTGAGGAAGAGAAAACATATGCCAGGACCCGAGGGTGGGAGTTGTCATTTTAACCAGAACGCTCAGTTTTACTAGCGGGGTGGACCTGCGGGAGGTGGTGTGGTGTGGTGCGGCGGGAGGCCCGAGGTAGGGGGGTCCCCAGAAGATGATAGGCAGGTTACGCAAAGAGCTGAATCAGAACGGAATAAACTCTTCCAAAGCTTCCCGGCTTAGCCCATTGTCAGCTTAGCCCGCACAAATGTTCCCTGAGAGACGTTTAAAGCCTGTGCTCCCGCTTCTCTTCCCACTGGCCATCCGAGGCATCGGAATCGCCACCGCACCTGAGCGACACACAGCGGCGGGACCCACGCCCCTGGGCATTTGGCTCGGCTGCTGCGCGCAGGGCCGTCCCGCGCCCCCGCCCCCGCACGCGCGCACGAGAGCGCGCGCCGCCCGGAGCCGCCCTCGGGCCGCACCCGGAACGCGGGCGGGCACGCGGCGGGCACGCGGCCCGGAGGGCGGCGCGCGCCCCGCTCGGCAGCTGCGGCGGCGGCGGCGCGGCGGCGGCTGGTGTGGGTGCTCACGTCAGGGCCGGGAGGAGGAGAGGGTTCTCAGACACGAGCGATAGAGACAGAGGGAGGGAGAGAGACATGAGGCGGCCTGGCCCGGAGCGAGAAAGAGTTGGGCTGGGAAGGAGAGAGTTTTAGAGCCGCCAGCCGGGCAGGGCAGGACGCGCGCCGGGAGTGCGGGCCCACCGTCTCCTCCGGGCTCTCCCGTCCGCCTTCAGCACCGGAGTGGAGAACAGTTCCCGGCAGCCCGCGGGCCGCGCCGCCCGGGGTCCGCCCGCCCCCGCCGGGTACCTGGAGCCTTCGGGGGGGGCCCCGGGACACCCTCGGGTGCCCGAGCGCGGCGCCCTCTCCCCTCTCCCGTGCGCTAGAAGAGGGGAAACGCACCGGGCGGCCCCCGGGATCCCTGAAGAAGCGCGGGCAGAATGTACCAGGGACACATGCAGGTAAGACGTCTCCGTGGAGCTGGAAAGAAAGACGGGGCTGATGGTCTAATAGCTAGCGGGTCACCAAGTTAGTTACTGTGGTTATGTACTGCCTCCCATACAACTCAACAAGTGAAGTGCAACGTGACCATGACATGTCTGTCCGGTGAAAGGAGACGGGTGACGGGGTAGGGTGGGGAAGAAAGAACTTCAACCCGGGAAGTTTGCATTCGGTGCTGGCCTGGAGCCTGTTCCTTTAAGCAGGACCAGGGAATCCAGACCGAGGAAAGCCTGGAGAAGACCGCGTTTCCATTGTAATCCTATTGATGCATCTCCGGCGTGTATGTCAACTGAAGGGCAAACAATCATGGGAGAAGCAGAGCTTCTTCCTTTATCCATTTAAGCAGATTCCTGATAGGATATTTTGCCGGGGTTTTTTTGCCTCATTTTTTGAAAGTATTTTTTTTAAGTGTTTGCCCTCTTCAGACGATGAGACATTTTTACCTGTACCAATAGCCATTGGTTGATTGGGGAGGATGGATTTCAAACCTAGGTCCTAAAGGCGCTTATGTTTTTCAGGGAGGTGTTTCTGCTTGTTATTATTGAGTTACTCCCCAGAGATACAAGCACTCTACTCTCTTGGGCCAGATTACTTTAACCTTGACTCTAGTTCTCATTCACCCAGTTTGTTTTTCCTCATAAAGGCAGATATATGCTCTGGGAGAAAAAAAACAGCTCCCGAAAGTATAACTGAGCTCGTATCTCTTTCCGTTTTTCCTCCAAAGCTTCAGACATATGGTTTGATGTTTGGGCTCCCATTCCATCCCGAAGATGGTCCAGCGCAATCGTCATGCCGTGACTTCGCTCTAATGTATAGCATGTGGATAAGGCTTTTAGCAGTTAGAGATAGGTAACTATGTGGTTGAATTCGCGACTTAATGCTAGCCACTATTAAATTTCCAGGTCTTGGGGAAATACTTTTGAACTGTCATTCACTTTATAGGAAGCACAGTATCGTGTCATATTACTAAGTTTTGTAAGAATTCTGTCTGGATCAGCACTGCCAGAATTCCAAAAGCATCCCCATATTTACTGACATCATTCTATTTTGAAAATTGTTAATGGGATTATAATACATTTAAGGCACAATAATTAGTAAATTTTTAAGTATATAATAAATGTAGCCTACACGTTTCTTACCATGTTAAGTGGAAATTTTGGTTTCAAAAAAGCTCCAAATGTTTCCTACAGAAAGTAACGAAAGGCTTGTTACTTTAGTTTTAAACTTCAATTTTACCGAAGAATGCTGCCTAAAATTTTATTGTCAACTTATTTTAAACAATTTCTTTATAAGGAAAAAACAACAAAGTTTTAGTCAATAGTTATTCTCAGAAAATTGCTCATTTACACAAAATTTATAGTTGACAACCTAAAACAATTATAAAAAACTTTCCACAATGTTTTGCTTATTTTATTTTTAAAAGATGTTATTGTAAATGTACAACTGATGAAACAATTTGATAGATTCATGAACCCCAAACTCAGTTTTCTGACTATTTCAAGGAAGGATTTGTTTTTTTACTTGGTAGTACAATGTCTGAGGGTTTTATTTCAGTTTGACAGAACAGACAAAATCTAAGGCTCTGCATATGCTTCCAACTTAATATTTTTTGTTTGTGTACTGCTTAGCAGAATAGAAGTCAAATATATGATGTCTTATGGTAAAACTCACAAATCTTTTCTCCAAAGCCTAACTTGAAGACATTACTAAAGACTGTAGTCAATATAGTTAGCAAAATTCCAGAATACAACACACCTACCCACTTTGCCATTGAACATTAATGCTGAACTTAAAGCTGTGAAGGATTCAATGCGGATATTTAATAATTATTGAGTGATCAATGGGAAATATCTTGAGCTTCCCCAAAACAGCTATTGCAGCCTGATAATGCTATACTTCTTTATTTATATTTTAAAACTTCAAATATCTTCCCCAAATAATTTTATTTAACTTACAGACAAAACTGTCATTGTGTTAATACATTGGTATCATATAAAGAATTGCTACTTATCAAAAATACCATCATCCTGTGTATACCTGACTGTGATCACATAGACCAGAAAAAAACATGCCCAGACATTTCAAAATACTTGTGATTAAAATCTGAACATATATTTGGTAAAGTGGACGAGGCACGAACAGATTTACTAAAATTTCTGCCAACTTTGCAGTTATTTTTAAATGGCGTTTCTTGGCTGATACCTTAAAACAAGGGTGAAACAAATGTTTACAATCATTTGCTACACTTTCTAATTCTTCTCTTTTCTGTATCCAAGATAGTTTAAAATAAAGGACTTCATAAGTAAACAATCTGGCATAGGGCACAGGTGTACACATGAAGCTTTAAAAATAGTCTAATTTAAAAACTCCTGTGGTGTCTTTGTTTTTAAATTTTTATGGTTTTGCAAGTAAGATCTACTTTATTCTGACACTTCCAGTGAATTCATCTACCTTATAGTGGAATCTCAGTTCACTTTTGAAGCCACAAACTTCTAAAAAGCACTTTTTTGTTTTAATAGTCCATTAGAAGATAAAATTAATTATCTGTTATAGGCAGATAGAACATAGAGTGCTAGTTTTCATAGTATGTCCTAAGTATATTCCTTAGACACAGGGCCCTGGAGTTGTATTGATTTCCATATGCCTCAATGATTATTCCCAAGGGGAATTAATCACCCCAGAAATGTAAACAAAGGTGGTTTTCTTGGTGTCTGTTTTAGGTTTGCTTTTATGTCTCTTTTTGATTGAATATAGTTCAACACTAGTTTATCTACCAGATAGGGAAAACCATTTCCTTTCTCTGAATTCTTAATCAAACTTATTTATTTAAGGGATAGTAAAAATATAGAACATATAAATTTTGAACTATGATTTTTTTTAAATTCTCTTATTTTTACAAAAAGAAAGTAGTTTCAGAAGTCAATTAAAATGTAATGAGAACTAATCTTTATCATAAGCATTCAAAATAGATTGAATGTATCTGGAAAATCAATTTATACCCTATAGCTTCATAACACATAAATATTTAAATGATAAAAATATAAGATTATTAACAACTATCCATTTTATTTGTCATTCCCCAAAGAAATTTGTGTTTGTCTTTATGTTTACTTTGGAATTATTTGAAACTGTTGTTACTTAAAATTTTTGCCAAACAGAACAGTTTGGATAATACAAATTATGCTAATAAATTAGATGAATCACCAAGAATTCATTAAGTTTACCCAAAACAGTATGCATAGTAAGTCAATACAGTGTAGGCTGTTGAATATTGTTTTCAACATTCTTGTCATTTGTGTGTGTGTGCGTGTATGTGTGTGTCAGTACTGGGGCTTGAACTCAAGAGCCTGGGCACTATTTCATAGCTTTTTCTGCTCAAGGATAACACTCTGCCACTTGAGCCACAGCTCAAGATTATTGGTGATAAGAGTCTCATGGATTTTCTTCCTAGGTTGGCTTCAAAACATGATTCACAAATCCCATCCTCCTAGGTAGGTAGTTGGCTACATTGCTGTCATTCTTGAGAACCTCAGAAAATGTAAAGCTGACATTTATCCTTGGTATTTTTTAACTTTTTTCCCCATATGCCACCCTTTTCTGTACTTTGTTATTGCTTTAATAACTCTTTGCTAAGACATGAACTGCTAACCAAGATATAAATGATAGCATTATCCCCTCACACTTCACACAGTGATATTTGCAGTTTCAGAGAAGACTCTGAGTTCCTTTGGTTTGGGGGCCGGGAGTGATGTCTTAAGGATGTCTTCATGAGTCTTTGCACTAGTAAAAATGGGCACTCATAAAATGGATTTATTTTCTGAAATATTAACTCTTTTGAGGGAAATTCATGAACAGTTATTCTGAAATGTTCAAATTTGTGGCAAAAGCCCTTACAAGATTCTAAAGTGAAAAAAACCCACAAATAACCAGAAAAATGTTAAGAATCTTGAATAAATAAATGAAAGGATGAATCAAAAAAGATTCTATATATGGGTATGGGTGTCATGTTGAGCCTTTAATAAATCAACATTCTAATAATTCTGGTATAATGTTGTAGGGTTTTTGATGAACCTGAAATTCTCACTCCCTAATGGTGTCCAAAACTTAACTTAGGTACTTGGAATTAGAAACATGCAATGGGATTTGTAGATTTAATTTATGGTTTATAAATATTCTTTTTTGTTTGAAAGTTAAAAAAATTCAAAGCCGGGCACTGAGCACCAGTGGTTCATGCCTGTAATCCTAGCTTCACAAGAGGCTGAGATCTGAGGATCATAGTTCAAAGCCAGATAGGGCAGGAAAGTCCATGAGACTTTTATCTCCAATTAACCACCAGAAAATCAGAAGTGGCTCTGTGACTCAAGTGGTAGAGCACTTGCTTTGAGCTGAAGAGCTGAGGGACAGTGCCCAGGCCCAAAGTTCAATCCCCAGGACCAACAATAACAACAACAAAAAAATCAAGCAGAGCAAGGAATGTGGCTTAGTGGTAGAGTGCTTGTCTAGCAAGCATGAGGCCCTGAGTTCGATTCCTTGGCACCACATAAACAATAAATAAAACTAATAAAATATAAGGAAAAATAACCATTAGAATTTTAAAATTCAAGCATATAGATGTTTTGACCATAAAACACTTTTTTTTTTTAAAGAAAGAAAAGGTTAAAACAGAACTTAAGAATTTGTTAATTTTAAATCCTGATTCTCTAGTGTTGCCACTGCCACACCATGCAGTCACAACATCTGGCAGGCTGCCTTGTTTGTTGCTGGTCCCCCTCTTTCTCTTTCTTATTGATAGCACATGTTTCCAACATTGGCATAAGCTAAGAGCTGTTTAATGGTTTTATGTTTTGGAATTAACTTGCTGGTATGTTTACAGAATAACAAGTGTGCATTTCCTGCACTGAATGTGAATATAAATACCAGGCTAGTATTTCTTTATTAAGAGATTCAAGTCTGAAAATGA